TGACTTCTGATACTTTTTCGTCACTTTATTGCGCTGCGAAACAGAAATTTACAATTAAAGCGATTTATCGTCAAAGGCTTAAAAATAACGAGTGTACAACTAATTAGACATGTAGGGAAATAAGTGTTGTCGTATGGCGAATGCAAATTTGAACAAGGGACTTAATCATTAGCGACTAGGAAATCCGGAAAGTAACCTTGAACACAAAGCTATCATAGGAAGTAATTACAAATGAAATGGGTCACAATAACTAGTAAGAAATTAGGAGCAACTTTTGTATATGCTAAAACTGAAAGCAAATAAGTAGGTAAGCAAATAAGTAACATATATATTTCTATATATATTAATTCAAATGTCTGCGCAGAAAAGATTCTTAAATTTTTGCATAAAACTCAACTAAGAGATACGAAAGACTTATTTTTGTGACAAATGACGTCAAATTGTCGGAGGTTCGTGACAAGGAAAGAAAGAGAGAGCGCTCAAGTGGGAAAGGGAGGCATTCTGTGCATAGTTAATTATGTGTGACGTTCGGTTTGCTGTTTCTGCCGCTTTTTATTTGAGCAAAAAGCTACACAAAAATAGTAATAACAAAAAACAAGTACAAAGCACTCGAAACCGCAAACGAGGCCCTACAAAAAGCAAATGAAGAGTGAACGGCTTGATAGAGGAGGAAGTACGAGGTTCCCCGAACAAAAGAAAGTGCAAAAAGTCGCACAAATGCAGCACTTCGATTCCGGAATAGCTCCTCATTTGAATGTCTACATTTCAACAGGCCTACGATGTTAACTATTCACTCGTATAAAAAACACTGCAAGAACAATTCTAACACACTGTCTACTACATTCATTCAAAATAATGAGTTATCGAGGACTTCTGCCCAACTAGATCTCATTCTATCCACGCTTAGCACGCAGCGGATGCCAGTATCATAGAACATCACTTGCATGCCCCAGTTAGATAAGTTCCAATACACAATGGCACAACTCTCGAAGATATTCCAACTCCATATCTAATCGGGGGTGCCATATTCGTATTATAGTTATAGTTATACAACTGTTTTATTGCTTCAATCGCAGGTGCAGTTTCACTGCCCTGAACTACAAAAAGTACCCGTGTTATCTAAAGTGATTCACCGAATGCTATTCAGCATTACTTTGTTATTTTATTTACTGGTGCTTTGGTACCGAAAACGGATTAATTTGCTTATGGAAGTTCGAGTGTCTTGGGGGATTTTTCAATCGTTATTAATAGACCGCAAACTGGTTATAGCCGCCTAATTGGCCATTTAGCGTCGTCACATGCAAGTTCCATTGTGTTTGCCTTTGGCTAACATTGCGCCGGCTGAAACGAAGGTGCAACGAGGTTGCACAGACGTAATCCGGTGGTTATCGCTGGCATTCTGCCGGAGATTCCGAATCTCACCCGAAAATCACACAGTGCGGCATGCAACAAAAGTGGCAGTTACAGAAACGATCGGAAAGTATTGGGTCGATCGTTTTCTGATTCACTCTGTTATCTTCCCATTCCACTCCTTATCGCCCTTTATAATATTTGAATGGGTTTTAAAGCCACTTCTAGGTATTTTTGTCGGCAATCATAAGTGGGTACATTTTCGCACAGCTATATGAAACTTATTTAATCAAATCGATCTTATGGGAGAACGGCTAACAAATGGATACGTGGAAACCTTGAATTAAGACACATTTGGATGATATGATTTTCGCCCGCCCATCAGCAAAGTCAGCTAACAAAACAGAGTTTGTATGCTTAGTCAGCCGATTACAAAGATAAAGGCGCACAGAATGGTTTTAATGGCTTAAAGTGGGGAAAACCGCTCGTTACCGACACGACTCGGTGCGAGTTTGAACCAAAACAGCTTTACAGCCAGCACTGATTCGGGCGAAAAGTGACAACTTTTTCGTTTATTTACACAATTAAAATCAGAGTTTGATTTTCAGGTTTTGCACAGTTCATAATTTGTGGGCACGTGTTAATGAGACAGCTTTGTAAGCGCGTGCAGACGCTTCGTGTGTTCGCTTCGAAATGCGATTTCTTCACTAGCCGCCATTCGAGTTCACTTGCCAATTTCGGCACTTACATTGTTCGCTATTTATCGATCGGCCTTTGCTCGCTTTAAGGTCACGGCTCACGCTGCGTATACGCAATGTGGGCTTGAAGCGATCGCCCAATTGGAGTGCACTCACCGACTCGCGCAACGTTCGCTCACCTGCGCATTTGAATTCGCACTGAAGGTGGAATTCGCAGTGCAGCAAGTGCGAGAATTATCGCCTCTCCCGATCTCTCCGCCGCTCTCTCTCTCTTTCCATATAGCTCCATATATCTGTACCCTCTCCCGCTCCCGCTCCCGCTCCCGCCGTCTGCTTCTAACTGTTCGCCCGCCGAGTGTTAGTTATAATTTTTTTATGCGCTCGCTTTTTTATTATGTAGATTGCTCTCGCGGGCTCGGCGGTTCCGTTCTGTGTCGCGTTTTCCACAGCAAATTATTGTCATAATTCCGCCGCTCATTCTTCGTTTCTTCCTCCTTTTTTCTTATTTCTGGAGTGCAATTGCAGGCGGCATAAATTCTTAATTAGTGCAGGCCACACAGCAAATAAATTTGTTTTTTTTTCTACTGGTATATTATTTTCACTTCAAAGTTGGCACCTTACGGGAATATGTATTGTTTTTCATAGCATACAATTGAAAAATACTTTTTTAGAACGCGAAATACATGCACATATCGAACATAACATGCTTCAATTGCAAGTACTTTTAACTGTAGTTAAAGCTGCAATTATAATTCTTTTTTTAATATCCATTAGGATTAGTATGGCAATTTCTTTCAGTGCATTAAACTTATTGGTCTTCGCCAATAGAGAAACGAATAAGAATGCGGAGAAAATTCGCGCACAACCAGGCAGTCTGGCAAACCTACTTCAAAATCGAAAACGAATTGAAAATTTCCCCGACTAGCGTGCGAGCAGTGTGTCAAATAAACTTCTGGCTTTTTTAATCACAGTTTGAGTTTTTCCCGTTTTCCCATTTGTCATATGTCTGCCATTTGTTTCACTCATTTATGCAGTCGTCAGCGTGTTTGAAATGTCTGTCCTATCGCAAACGATTTTTATATCTTATCAATCGAGGTCTGCCGCAATCGAAGCCGTCAACGCAAAACGAAGAGCTGAATACACACCTTCGCATTAAAGGCCACAAATCGGTCATTTGCTGTGGATTTTGGCGTAACTCTACGAGAATTCTGGGCTCTGTTTTCATACTTCTGCACCGATTTGCTTATCTTTGCACATTTTCGAACGTACGCCACCCAGCCAACACAAAAACACACAAACAGTGCCCAAATCGCTTGGAATGCTCCTCTGCCAGCTGTGGGAGTCCAACGATTGCGAAAAACTGGTGAATTCGATGGCGTTTTATGGTAGTTATTTGGGTAGAACCAAAGATTGTAGGTGCAATCTGAAAATGTGGGAGTCCCATCGATTCTCAGTGAATAGCACTCTTAATCAAGTTTTTTTAACAATTCAATCAATTGTATACTAGATTATTACAAGTGCTAGGTAAAGAGCAGTCATTTTAAACCAAGGATAAGATATGGGTTAGGAGATGTTTTACAACTTTACTATGTAACTTAATTTATGCAACACATTTTTCGTAGCAATAGTACTTAGTTGAAGCTCAACTATATTCTGAACTGTATCTTAATTATCGCGCCAGTTTTCAAAATTTAAATTGACCATACTTTACGTAATCGAATTCGCCACAATTCGATCCACTTACTGTCAGCCGAGCACACAACCTGATTTAGTATGGTTGCCTACCAGGCCATTCAATATTCAGTTTCACAACCACACTTAGAGCTGCCAGACTATTAATTTAGAACATATACGTTAAAAGTTTAAATTGTCATTTAAACGTTTATACTTTTCAACTGCATAAAACATGCTAGATAAATAAGTTTTGTTACTAAGTAAGTTTACTAAGTTCTAAATAAATAAGTATTTATACTACTTTATGAGTCAATGTTTATAAATATGTTAAAAGTTGAATTTGTCATTTAAGAGATTATATTTCCCACCTTCATAAAATATGTCTAGATAAATAAGTTTTATTAAAGTATTTATACTACTTTATGAGCCTACGTTTATAAATTGAGTTCGAAAATACATGAATAACTCGACCTTAAGCCATTACAGAATATAAAAATATCCTACCCCGTTTATAGCAATTAAAAATGCATTAAATCGCCAGTTTTAATGTTAAGTTGACAAAATTGATAAGCGTATTTTTGCGATAGTAGGCAACCCTGCGAAGTGAACCTGATGCCTCCCACATAAATAAACATCTTAGATGCACTCGAATTTCGTCGCCAGGCACCGCCAGTCGGGATCGAACTAAGCAAAGTCCATATTGGGCGTTTCAAATTTCCTGGCTGCTTTAATTGCATTACCAGAAGTACTTTAATTATGTACTTATGCGGCGGAAATTCCTGCGAGTGTGGTAGTATGACTTAAAGATTGGATAAGATAGGACTTAATGAAAATAAGAGTAAGATGTAATTGAGCCAAAGCTTTTTGAAAGTTAGCAAATTACTTAATAATTAGTTTTAGCTACGCATAAGATAAATGTTTTATCTTCGTTCTTTAAACTATTTTTTAAGTGGGCAGTAAACAAGCTTCATCCACAAACAAATATTGACTGTCTTGTTTTGCTACTATAATTGGTTTATCTCTGAACTGAGAACCTCTCCCAAGAGATCTAAGTGCAGATCTAGAGATTTCAAAAAACAGAGAGCAACCTGTAGATGAAAGATAATTGCCAAATTAGGGAGCCGAGCTTATAGGAATATTGCATTCCATCTAAGAAAAGAGGGTAAGAAGAAGAGCTGGAAACCTGCTAAATATGTTAATGAATTCAATAACTGCGTTTTTTTACAACGCCCACTGGAACTAGAACCAGAGAGAGAGAAAGAGTAAAACTCTTTCCAGTTAACCGGCCGGCTTACACATACAGTCAAGCACCGCAAACTTGGAAGAGAGTTGAGAGTTTGTGTTTGGGGAGAGCGGCAAGTGTATATAAGAAGTGTCGCCGGCAGAAGAAAGTCAGTTGAAGTGCAGTCGTCGTGCCGATCGGTTCAGTGAGAGCAGTGGCTGGAGAGAGACAGTGAGAGTAGAGAGTAACGGCAAGAGAGTGCGCATCGAACCGAACGCTTTTCCTTCACCCACGATTAAAGCGAACGCTTATTGGCGAATTGAAGACCCGAGAGCCCCAGTGCCCAGCTGATTTAGTATTCTTTGTTGAGGTAAGCCAAGGAATCCCTGGAACCACCTCATTTCGTGGCACCTTAGTGATGTAATTACGCACCAAGTTTTACCCTTGCCAAAAAGTGAAAAACGCTATTGCGAACTTCGATGCCGAATGGTGTTCGTCTCGATTCGTTTCTAAAATTACACACAATGGTTTTTTGGCTTCGATTGATTTGATTTGATTTTTGGGTCAATCGATTCGAAATCGAAAAGTTTTGAACTCGTTTCGCAGAATCGCAGTTCGCGCGGATCTCTCGCCCCGCTCGCAAGCAAATATGTGAAGGACAACGACGTTAACCGATCAACTAGAAGCCCTCTTCTTCTGCCTCTTCAGAACCGATCAGATCGGAATTGAAATATAGAAACGACCATAGCACCTCCGTCGACTGTGGAGTGCGTGAACGTATTTCGAAGCGTGAGGTACTCGAACCGGAACCAACTTGAGTGCGGTGCATACTCGGGATCTTATCCAAACGCAGGCTTACATAACTCCTATTAATACCTTTTCGAAGAGAAATAATTGAAATCGAACAAATAATTATTTAGCAACAAACAATCAGTTATATTTTTGAACTGATAATGAAGTGTATGCCTTGAGGCGAGGGGTCCCAGACTTTCGTATTCAAGTGATAACCCCCCGATCGGCGAGTTCATCTGCAAAATATTGCCCATATGGGCCGGGTGCACGTGAATCCCTTCGGTGCCCATTGACGCACTTTGTGTGCCCCCTTTTGGGTCCTTGACCCGCTGTGATCCCTGCCCTTTCCCACGGATTGGATAATCTTGGCGTCATTATCTTTTCTAACCTTTTCCCACGACTAAAGTGAAACCCATTGCCTCGATTTTAGTGTCGAAGAGCCAAAATAGATCAGAAAATCGAAATTTAATTAAATCATGACACCGAAACACCGAGACAGACCAAATTAAATTCAATTGAAGCTGTCATGGCAACAAGTGCCAGCAAAAAAAAAAAGAAAAAGGGAGAGCACTACGGTGAAACCAGAAGATAACGCCGAAAAGTCGAATCGATTGTTGCAATTTGAGACTCTCCGAAAGCGAAAATTGCAGCGGAAGAGGCGGCCAATCGGCCATTACTAAAAGGGGATGGGGTTGGGAAGAGGTTCCGAAGTCTTGGTGACTGACTGGGCGCCCTGCCAAAATCATGGCGAAGGCAGAGACACCATGATTCCTCAGCCAAGTCGAACGAAAACGGGTTTACGCTCTACATGGACCCTATAGCACATTGAATCGTTTATGTTTATCCAGCCAGGCAAAAAGTGTGGACGACAGTGGAAACAGGGGCGTTGTTTGCTCCTCCGATTCTTCCAGCAGCGCCAACGCCCCGAAAGATATTGATTCCGACTTTGTGCGATTCAGCGGAAAACATAAGGGGACCAAGAGTGGGCAGCCGGGCGGAGGAGTGGTGTCTGTTTCTTTGATATGCGTGGGTGTGTTGTCTGTGCGCCAATCGATGCACTTCCGCTGGGAAATACTCTTGCAATTTAGTATATATCAACTATATATATAGTGCAGTTTTATGGTAATTATATTTTCTGTCAACTTTTGCCTTGACTGCGCTTGATTTATAGCATTGTTCTTGAAGAATCGCCTCATAAGGCACGCAAATAAACAACTGGAGGACAAACATGGCTTTAAAACTAGAGCAAAATTAGCTAGTAGCTTTTATATAGAGTTTATGCAGCTTGACCCAGCGGTTCTTATATTATTTGTTTACACTGCTAAAGAGTTATCATAAAGTGTTTTAGGCACTCTTTATCGTGAATCTTAAAAGTTATACGAGACTCTAATTTATCCTTATCATTCACGCATATTCTGGCCCACTTCAGCTGGCAACGTTCACCTTATCATTAAAACCAGGCTATCGACTGATTAACTGGGTTTAATCAGCCAGCAAACGTAAAGAAAAACTACGAAAGTTCTGGAAAACTAATCAAAGCATTTCAAAATGGCGTGAAATGGTTAGCATTGCAATTTGTATTCGACTGCTAATATCGGAGTTTTCATCAAATGTACATATATCTATTATGAAGCTAAGAAAACGTAATGGTTCTAACTTTTCAAGTTATCAATAGTACTGCTCCGATAAGATCCTGTTAACACACATTGCTCTACATTTCTTTCAGGGAATTGCATTGAGAAAACGCAGAGATGGCCGATGAAGCACAAGCACCACCAGCTGAGGGAGCACCACCAGCCGAGGGAGAGGCGCCACCACCCGCCGAGGGTGCCGCAGAGGGTGCCGTCGAGGGCGGAGAGCCCGCTCCTCCGGCAGAGCCCGCCGAGCCCATCAAGCACAGCTACACGCTCTTCTACTTCAACGTGAAGGCGTTGGCCGAGCCCCTGCGCTACCTGTTCGCCTACGGCAACCAGGAGTACGAGGATGTGCGCGTCACCCGCGACGAGTGGCCAGCCCTGAAGCCCAGTGAGTGCCACAATCCGTAGTTAAGTGATCAGTGGACTAACCATAGTCTAAACCATTGCATTCAATAGCCATGCCAATGGGACAGATGCCCGTGCTGGAGGTGGACGGCAAGCGTGTGCACCAGAGCATCTCGATGGCCCGATTCCTGGCCAAGACCGTCGGCCTGTGCGGTGCCACTCCGTGGGAGGATCTGCAGATCGACATTGTCGTTGACACCATCAATGACTTCCGTCTAAGTAGCGAACAATGTGTGCCTCAGTTTCATGTTCAGTGTCCTTGATTAACTCTGGAATTTTTAATGTATAGAAATTGCAGTCGTCTCGTACGAACCGGAGGACGAGATTAAGGAGAAGAAGTTGGTCACCCTGAATGCGGAGGTCATTCCATTCTACCTGGAGAAGCTCGAGCAGACCGTCAAGGACAACGATGGTCACCTGGCTCTGGGCAAGGTTGGTGCTCAAATTGGAACCTACACCATTCACTCTTCAATTCTGGATGAACAATTCAAAACTCCATCGCTTTCTTTCACCCACAGCTGACCTGGGCCGACGTCTACTTCGCAGGCATCACCGACTACATGAACTACATGGTCAAGCGCGATCTGCTGGAACCCTACCCAGCTCTGCGCGGAGTCGTTGATGCCATCAACGCCTTGGAACCGATCAAGGCCTGGATCGAGAAGCGCCCCGTCACCGAGGTCTAAGTTCCCCGAACGGGACTTGGGAGGAGGGAAAGCATTGCACACCACTCAGACACACCCGCACCGCAGAAATGCACACCACCCACATCTGTACACATTTTGTTCCTTTTTGCGGAGGATCCGAGAGGGCAGCGGACTTTCGCACGGGGTCATAGACGCGTAGGATTTTAGCACGTATCACTATGGACAAATCGTATTTGTCCTTAATTTCTTGGTTATAATTCTCTTTGCATGGCGCTATATACATATTTCTATTGGGGTCCGGCAGCGGATCGCCGTTCGTTAGCTTCTTCTGAAATGATGAAAGATAATACTTATTGCACAGTTTATAATATTTTGGCTTACATTTAGAACATACATTTAGCGCACCTATGCAGACCTTTGCTGTACCTATATTATATAAATACAAAAAACTACGAGTGGTTCATCTTTAGACGTATTCTGTTACAATTAATTCAATGCGAGGAGCTCAACAAATATTTAAAACAACCACAGCCAAGGCTGAGCAACAATTACAAATTTTTATTTTGTTTTTTTTTTTATAACACGCCATCGCGGCCCCAGGAATTTTCTTCGTCTCATCCAGTTTTCTCTTTAAGTAACCATTAAAAAAAGACTCACATCAATAGAACCGGTTTCTCTAAAAAAAACAGACTTCTACTGCCAAATTTCAAATGCACATAATCACGTACATTATTACATACATATTATTTATTCAAATTTGTAATTGTATTTTTTAAATATTTTCACAAAACACTTTTTAATAAACTTAACACCTAAAAAGGAAAGAGCACTTTTTGAAAGCACGACAACTCGTTTTATTTCGTTGCTATAAAATGTATTGGAATACTTAATTCACTCATTTAAGAATTTCATAAGGGCAGTATTAAAAAAAAATAAATACAATTTTATACTCACTGAATGATACTTTAAATTGGCATTCCCAAACAGACCCAACGTACAGACAGAAATAAATAAAGCACGGAGTCTTGTTCAACATTTATCACAAACATTATATTAAAAAAACATTTCATATTAACATATTTTTCAGACACTTTGGACAATTCAAGCTAAATCCGCTTAAAAGTATAAATGCACAATTGGCCAGTTTTGTTTCATTAGTTTTACATAATAGATTATGTTAGTTGTGCTTCCAGTTGGGTGGGCGCTTCTCGAAGAAGCTAGCAATGCCTTCTTTGGTGTCGCCCAGCTGGAAGTTCTCGCACATCTTCTCCTGCCCAGCAGAAAAGGCTTCTGCTTGGGACATGGCTAGTTGTTTGTAGTAGAACTCCTTTCCCAGCGAGATAACGGCCCGACTTTTGGCCTTGATGGCGTTGGTGATTTCCTCGATTTCCTTATCTAGTTCTTCAGCAGGAACAGCTTTGGTGACCATTCCCGATACGTAGGCTTCTTCACCGGTAACAGGAAGACCGGTCATTAGCATATATGCGGACTTTGGACGCGACATAATGCGGGCAACCGCGACGCCTGGTGTGGAGCAAAAAACTCCGACGCCAGCCCTAAAAGTAGAAATGTTAACATGATTAACTGGTTCCATAGAAGATTCCTATGCTTACCCAGGAGTGGAGAACTTGCTGTTCTTGGTGCAGACTACCATGTCACAGGAGACCACCAGTTGGCAGCCTGCAGCAGCCGCATAGCCATTGACTTTTCCTAAAACGGGCACCGGTAGTCTTTGGATGTCGTTGATAACGTCGGTTAGCTTCTGAAACACACAAGCCTGTATCTTGGGGTCATTGTGCAACTCCTTGAGATTGTGGCCTGCCGACCAGATCTTTCCTTGGGCCGTTAGGACCACGCACCTCAGATCCACACTGTCCTTGTCCTTCAGCAGAGCATCTTGAAGGGCACACAGCATGTCCAGTGAGAGGGAGTTCAGAGTTTTTGGGTGATTCAGCGTTATCTCTCGCACGCCATTCTGCTCCCTGACCAGGACCAAATCACTGGAGGCATTGCTGGCGAAGCGAAGAACCTGTGGCACGCAACCTGTTGCATATTTCGATATCTTTACAGAGTTGTTCAAGATGCGCAACATTTTTATTTTGATTTGCAATCAGTGTTGGTAAATTCGCCGCCCAAGACAGCTGGCCAGCTATCGAAACAGCTGTAAAGCGATAGCAGCGCGCAACAGTTGGCGAACGGTCACTCTAAGCCGCAATGCATTTTTACGATTAAAAGTTTATGTCTATTCGCGTTTTTCAAAGCTTTTTCCGTTTTTTAGCTGCCCCACTGTACAGGTGAGTAACCGCTCAGGTGCGTCAACAACCGCTGCGGCTCTTTGTGCATCACAGCTGAGCGGTCAGACAGAACAACAACAAAGCCAGAACAACAAAGCTCCCGACACCTAATGTACTTAGTAAATCTATGTGACTACTACAAAAGCAGAACTTTATCAGCCACCAAAGCCATTTGTATTTGTCGCCCCACACTCACGGCCCCGCCAATCAGTTAACGATTCGAACCACGCGAGTGCGGAACCACCGACCTGAGCTCCACTAAAGCGTACTCCATTCCATTACCACATTCCAGCTTGCCACACGATGCGTCCGTTCTCCGGCAGCGATTTCGTTAAGCCCGTCACCGAGGGCATCAACCGGGCCTTCGGCGCCAAGGAGCCCTGGCAGGTGGCCACCATCACGGCCACCACGGTCCTGGGAGGCGTCTGGCTCTGGACTGTGATCTGCCAGGATGAAAGTGAGTTGGTGATATGCGATGCATCCCCCGTTATTAGTTCCCGTTTTACTGCTTAATATGCCAGGAAAGAAGCCAGATCTCTGGCTGGATCACCCAGATCTGGACTTGTATAGAACATAGTGCCAAGTCATCGTCGTCAGACGATTTCTTTCATTTCGTGGTTGCAGAGCAGGGCACGTCAATTACCTAAATCCATCAAACTATCTTATCTGCTGGGTGCGTTGCTTGCAAACGCAGCTAGACTTCTTCCCTTAACATTTTAACTCCCTTTATAAGTGTTCATTAACAATGGCACACTTTACAGTGTACTTTGTGCTCAAGCTTATATAAAGCATGCCCTCGTCAGGTGCCCTCCCCGAACTTCTGGATTTAATCTAGCCACAGATTACAATAGATTAGAGTTTAAATGTTTGCTAAAGCGTGTAGAAACTTAAAATCAATCACATATGCAAAGTTCAACAGCGCGAAGAAAACTGATAAGATTGAGATATCATGCCCTTGCTAACATATAGTAATAGGTTAGGGGTTATGCATTCTTCATGCTTGGTACCAAAACTAAAATGATTAGGTAGTTTCCCCGATACCATGAGTAATGCTTTAAATAAGGAATGATTAAAGAAAAGTGTTCCGAGCATAGCTTCCCCATAAAGTGCCACAAAGTCCAAAGTTTCGTCCACAGCAAAGCATGCCATGTCCGATAAGATGGAGTGGGTATCATTCATATTTCGTTTATCAGACTGCAATTTATTTCAATAATGATTCTTTGTTTCGGGTCATTTACCGTCAAGAACATAAAACAATTGCCTTTTTTAACGACTTCAGTCTGGTGAAAGCAAAGGATAAAAAAAAGGTTTATCTCTTAGTAATATATACATCTTAACTGTACGCGAACTAATTTCCTAATTCTTTTCACTAGATCTTTACATCCGTGGCAAGCGCCAGTTCTTTAAGTGTGCCAAGAAGATTCCTGCTGTGCGTCGTCAGGTGGAGACCGAATTGACCAAGGCTAAGAACGACTTCGAGGCGGACATCAAGAAGAGCAACGCCCACCTTACCTACACGGAAATTCTGCCCGAGAAGGGACTCAGCAAGGAGGTGATCCTCCGACTGGTGGATGAGCACCTGAAGACCGGTCACTACAACTGGCGTGATGGTCGCGTATCTGGCGCAGTATACGGCTACAAGCCCGATCTGGTGGAGCTTGTCACAGAAGTGTACGGAAAGGCCTCCTACACCAATCCCTTGCACGCGGATCTCTTCCCGGGAGTCTGCAAGATGGAGGCGGAGGTAGTGCGCATGGCATGCAACCTGTTCCATGGAAACTCAGCCAGTTGTGGAACCATGACAACCGGCGGCACCGAATCCATTGTAATGGCCATGAAGGCGTACAGGGATTACGCGAGAGAGCACAAGGGAATCACCAGGCCGAACATCGTGGTGCCTAAAACGGTCCACGCGGCCTTTGACAAGGGCGGCCAGTACTTTAACATCCACGTGCGATCCGTAGATGTTGATCCGGAGACCTACGAAGTGGACATTAAGAAGTTTAGGCGTGCCATCAATAGGAACACGATTCTGGTAGAGTCTTACATAGCTAAATGTGTCGTAAAACTAATCTTTAAACTTCTATCAGCTGGTTGGGTCTGCGCCGAACTTCCCGTATGGAACCATCGATGACATCGAAGCTATCGCTGCTCTGGGCGTTAAGTACGACATACCCGTGCACGTGGACGCCTGCCTGGGCAGCTTTGTGGTGGCCCTGGTCCGCAACGCCGGCTACAAGCTGCGTCCCTTCGACTTTGAGGTCAAGGGAGTGACCAGTATCTCCGCTGATACCCACAAGTACGGATTCGCACCAAAGGGATCTTCGGTGATCCTTTACTCGGACAAGAAGTACAAGGACCATCAGTTCACTGTGACCACTGACTGGCCTGGTGGCGTGTACGGTTCTCCCACAGTCAACGGCTCTCGTGCTGGAGGTATTATCGCCGCCTGCTGGGCTACCATGATGAGCTTTGGCTATGATGGTTATCTGGAGGCCACCAAGCGCATTGTGGACACAGCGCGGTACATCGAGAGGGGGTAAGTTTATTTCAACATTTGATTTGTTGTAACAATGATTTAATTGTATATCTCTTTCCAGCGTTCGCGACATCAATGGCATCTTTATCTTTGGCAAGCCAGCTACTTCGGTGATTGCCCTAGGTTCCAATGTGTTCGACATTTTCCGGCTATCGGACTCGCTGTGCAAACTGGGCTGGAACCTGAATGCCCTGCAGTTTCCATCTGGGTAGGTGACTCAACTTTTAAATTAGCGGAACCATTCTAATAAGTGAAATTCCCTCTAAGTATCCACCTTTGCGTGACGGACATGCACACACAGCCCGGAGTAGCGGATAAATTCATAGCCGATGTGCGCAGCTGCACGGCGGAGATCATGAAGGATCCCGGCCAGCCCGTCGTTGGAAAGATGGCTCTCTACGGCATGGCCCAGAGCATACCCGACCGTTCGGTGATCGGAGAAGTGACTCGCCTATTCCTGCACTCCATGTACTACACACCCAGCCAGAAATAGACACCTGGAGCAATGGAGTCCCCTTACTCCTCGCCCACCCCACGGAGCTAATGCATTTCCTGTGCTGTATTTAAACCACCAAAACACCCCGTCGTTAAACCTTCCTCAAGCAATTTATATTAGGCTGCAATTAGTGCTGTAATCGAGGGTACAAAACGTCGTTCTACGCGAAAATGATCTATATTCATCCCATTTGTCAACATTCGTCGCTCTAAGAGCCATGTTATTGAAGTGTTTTTCTGTGTAACTTGCTAGTGAAATAATATAATATTAATCAAATGTTGTCTACGAAAGTAAAGTGTTTTACCCGTAGCTTCGTGCTTAAATAATTGAATGATTTAATTTAATCTGTAATCGATGATGGTAGCGAGCTTGTTAATCCTTAAACACCACTTGTGTGTGTTCTATAGAATCATAACTTATCCATATGGCTTAATTGCTTTGTGGAACCACAATTGTTTAGCATGGCTCGATTTGTTACCATTTAATTTATATTTTGTTTACAGTTTACCCCTT